CCCCCCCTTCCCTCATGGCTTGCCTGTCCAGCAAGGTTGGGATCACTGCTCTGCGAGACCAGTGAGTGCCCCAGCCCACTTCAGTGCACAGTCAGACAGATTAGATTGAATCATCACTCCAGAACAAAAAAATGTGTCTGCTAACAGTAATTAATGGCTGTCTTCTTCTATATTGCTTTTAATTTACAGAGTTTCAGTCATGGCTGAGCTATTCTGTATGCTATTCATTAGCTGATCACATGCCACTGCTAATTTTTTTCAAATGGATTCACTATTTATAAATGTTCACCGGTTTGTGCCGACATATGAGGGGAGGGAGTGACATATTTATGCCATCTACTTTATGTCTTTAGTGCAGATGTTCTGCAGTTCTCCTTTGGAGGGATTGACCTCTCCTGTTTACCAAAGATGCAACTTTGGATCCTAAAGCTATTTGTATGTACTGTGCCTGAACTAGACAGTTTAAGACTCATCATCCTTTTCTCCTTAGACTCCAACCATCTAATGAGTCCATTCACCTTTGTCTGTACAGTGGGCCTAGTTAGCTGCCTGTCATTGGTACTACTCCTCAATCACTGAGTTCTTTTACATTTAAAAAAGTAACTTTTAGAATAGAGTAGAATAGAATAGAATAGAATAGAATAGAATAGAATAGAATAGAATAGAATAGAATAGAATAGAATAGAATAGTTCCAGTTGGAGGGGACCTACAGTGATCATCTAGTCCAACTGCTTGACCACTTCAGGGCTGACCAAAAGTTAAGGAATATTATTAAGGGCATGGTCCAAATATCTCTTGAACACTGACAGGCTTGGGGCATTGACCACTGCTCTAGGAATCCTGAATATACATTTTACAGTGAATAAATCTTGTGCTAAAAATTGCTGGGTTTTTAGGGTTCATGAATATCAAAAAGGATGCTCAGTGGCTGCCTAAGTAACTAATGATACACATATCCCTTCTGTATTTCACAGATCAAGCCAGTTACTTTTGGTACTATTAAATCAACTCTGCTAGTAGTTGAATTGAATTTTTTTGTTGGTACAACCTCAGCCCTAATTAAACATTTATAACCTCACATAGCTAGACACAATACAAGTCACCCTGACTGGGAGACCTTTGCTCACGGAAAATCAGCATTTGATGTTCCAAAGATGGAATGGAACCAGCATGTTAAAGCATCTACTCATTATCCAAACAGTCCCTATTGTTACATTATTGCCAGGAATATCCTGTTTGTCACTGGGATAGCACTTGGATTCTCCTGACCTAGAAGCAGCCATTTACCTTGTGGCTAAACCCTTTCAGTGTGGGACTTGGAAATTCACCAAAGGTAAGGAAACCTGCTCAGGGCTCTGACCTCCAACAAAACCTCTTCAAAATGCCTTGAGAAATAACCGGACTCGTAAACCTCCACACATCCAACAAAAGAAACCATTTTCATATCCAAGTAACAAATTTGCCTTCCCCATCTGTCTGGCATTGCCTCTGACCCTACTCTACATCCATCACACCCCAACCCTGGCAACAGGCCCTGAACAAATTCATTTTTGTGGACTGTGGGTGAAATCTGTGGCAGAATATTACTAGTGTGGAGCTAATAACTGGTTTGGACTTTTGTACAGTGTGGCTGCATACATGGTGAAACACCAACAGCCCTTCGTCCCAGGCATTTGAGTTGTAAATGCTGCATGAGCTATGTGCAGGAATCCTGTCCCTTCCCTGGGTGAAATCCATCTAATGCCTTTGATTTTCTTAGAGACAGGTTGGGCCCAAATTTTATAAAGTGGTTTCAAGCCCTTTCATGTGAAAGGCACTGAATAAGTACTGTACAGATCTAATACTATTGGAGCTCAGCCCTTTGAAATGCTGGTTGCTTCCTCTGAGCCACACATGTCAGTATGTTCACCTGTTTCACTTGTGCCATGAAAACCTGCCCAGGGAAGGAATAAAAAGATGCAACGCAGCAGGGCGAGTAAATGTAACTGGTACAGTGGGTCCGTAAATGGTTAATGCCTTGGCCATGGCAATGGTGCATCTGGAGCTTTTCCCAATGTTGGGCTGGATAGCATCACTGTCTCTCCTGAGTTGCTGGAGTCACGGCAGTGAGAAACTGCTCTGAGATCACCACTGGAATCCTCAATTTTTAATGCTTCCCCCTCCCTACTTTTTCTATTAGAAAGAAGGAAATTGGTAAATGCCCTGGGACTCACAACCAGGTTGTGACCCGGTGAGGCAAGAGGAAGTGCTGGCTAACACACCACTGCTGGTAATAATGCCTGGGTGAAAAGCCTTCAATGGAAAGTGCAGTTTTGCAAAAATCTGCAGCAATTAATTGCTTTTGAGCATTTCCAGCACAGAAGAACTGAATCAGACAGTTTCAGCTTGTTTGGGAAAGTTGAAACTGTGGATTTTGGCAGGGGCAAGTGCAGGGGCAGACAAACCAGTTCCCTGGGGTAAATTCAAATGTGATTTTCCAGAGCCTCAAGCACCCTGCAGGATCTGCCCATGTGTGAGGGCTCCCTGTGTGTTGTGGTACCTGTGGTATCACCATGCCCGTGGTACAGCTGTGCCCATCTTACTGCCATGCCACCGCTCCTCCTGACCGTGGGCAGCCACGCAGACAGAGGTGGAAGGGGCTCTTGCAACAGAATATGCTAAAAACTGTAAGATTAGGAGTAAGGTTGCCTGAAGTGAGCTCTTTCCTCTCTCAATACCCACAGTATTTTAAATAGGTTATGTTATACTTTATGCCATGTAATATTTTTATGTTTTGTGAATGGGATTTTTTCCAGCACTCTGCTCTAGAAATAATTTCCACTGCTCAGTTCTGTGTGCAGTTTTGTGGTGAAGTTGGTTTAATAAATGATGGGATTTCTCAAAAAACTGAAATTCCATTTTTGATCCATGCTAGTTTTGACCACTGCTGCTAGACAGAGTTTGTCTCAGAATAGCATGTTAATATACAGAGCTATTTTTTCCCCTTATCTTTCTGAACTTTCTCACTGAAAACATTCTTAGTTTATATTTATATGCTATAATAGCTAAGAAGGCAAATAAGAATAGCTGGATATATTTTAGAGGTCTCTGTCTTCAATGTAGCTGAAAATGTAGGTTGATTTTAAAGTTCATGCATGCTACTTCTACCTGCCACTCTAAGGAAATAAGGATTATACAGCAACACACTTCATCTTTCCATCCTTCTCTCAGCCTTCCTCTTCCTCAGTAACTTTTGAGACCACTGGCAATTTCTACCACTTCTGTCAGAGAGGAAACAAAACCAAAGCAAGTCCCTGCGAGTCACCTGTGGATGGGTAGGGAAGAGAAACTCGGCATGGTGCCCCCAGCAAGTGCCAGCCTGCCTGGCTGGCACCAGCACCTATGTGTGTGCACACACGTGTGCCCCCACGCTCACGGCAAACCCACCCAGCCCACAGAACGATGCATACGTGGTCTGGTACTGGCTATTGTATGTTTTTTTTCCATATGCAGAGGCATTCGTAGGGCATGGGAAAGAGCGAAGGGCAGTGGGTGCTGGGACCGGTGTATTGCTGGGGAGCGAGGCTGTAAGGGACAAGCTGATCTCAGCTTATCATGGGAAAGCGGCTGTTGTTGCAATATAAGGCATAACTTCATGCAGCCAAGCTTCTTTACGGTTTTTGGCTCATGGAAGTACATATTTACAACATGCAATATTCTTTCTTGTATCTTGTCTGGGTAAAGGGTTTTTTTCTAAACTGGTCGTTTAATCTATCTGGTGGGAAGGGTAGAGGAAAGAGACCGTTGCGTGCATTAGAAGTGACGCTGCCCACTCTTGTGGAGGAAAAGGTCTTCACATCTCCATGGATCAGAATCTGCAATTACACAGCTTGCTTGTTTGGCCAGTTCATCTGCTAAACCTGACACGAAGCCAGAATGAAAACAGAGATTTTCCCATTACAGAATACCAAATCTATGATAAGCCACGCCATGAAAATTCAGTTTTTAAGGAGGTGGGGAGAAAATGAGGGAAACTCCAACTGCTGCTGAAAGATAAGCAATGAGTTTTGCAGTGCTTCTAGAATCTGTTTTTCAGGGATCACATAAACAACAACAACCATAAGCCAAAGGAGCAGTGAGAGAATAAAACCAGCAGAATCTGGGATAGGAGAATTTAAGCAAAAGTTTGAGCAACAGTTTTAGCCTGTCACACCAACTGCATGATAACTTTGGACACAGCTGGGTAAAGTAAGTTGTTGCTACAGAAAGAGGCCTGTGAATATTATACTGAATTTGTGGGTCTGTTTTGCACAGTGATGCAGTGGACTTCATCAATGATCTTGATTACGTTCATATTTTTTTTCTTATACTACAAATTCCCTCACTATAAAGTACTCAAACCAATCACCACTCTGCTTTCCCTTATATACTAATTTATAGTATTAAAATGTTTTTATAGATGGAGTAACAAATGTGTCTGAAAGGAGACATATTCTGACAGCACTGAAAGAGACTATGCTGGTTTTCTCAAAGATTACTCCTTAAATAGGTTACAAATATTGTAATTTATGCATAGTTTGCCATGAGGTACAAGATCACTGATAGCATATATTTTTATGTATATATATATGTAGTCTTCATCATAACTTCAGCCTGTGAAGTTCAGAAGTTCAGAATTTCAAAAACAAAGCAAGAATACAAATCGATGGAGGCTGAATTATATTTGTTGTCCCAAAACCCCAGTGGATTGAATTGCATCCCTAACGCTGCTTATTTGCCAAAACCAAAATAAAAATTGGAAGAAAACAAATTGGTTCTCTCAATAAATCCTGCATTGCCCCAATTGTATGAGCTACCATCTAAGCTACCTGGCTACCATCCAGGCCTGAACCACATTCCCGGACAAGAAGTAACCCATGCATCCCCTTTGAACCGTCCTCTCCTCCCCTTGATCTTCCTTTACCTCCCACCTGACCCTCCTGCAGCTCTCCATTAAATTTCTTTTAAAGCACTTTCTTACCTGCATAGTGATCAAACACAGTAGGGACATACTCCTCTGGGAAGGCATCATTGGCATAACTCATCAGCAGACAGGTTTTCCCAACTGCACCATCCCCAACCACCACGCATTTTAACATCTTCTTCGCGTTATTGCTGCTCCCGTCAGTGCAGTTGTCATCTTCTTCCTTGCAGTTCATTCTTGCTGCTGCTGCCGCTGCCGCTGCTCTTGCTGCTCCCAGGACTTCCAAGTGCACATGAAGGAAAAATGAAGTGCGATTGTATTGACTTTTCCTGAGTTTGGAGCAGGGAGGAGGGGGGGGCAGCAAATCTCAAACTCAGGAAATCATACTAATATTTCCAGGCTGTCACAGCCGCTTCTAACAATTACCAGATCAGTCAAGAGAATCATCGAGGTGAATAAATTAAATATACAGACAGGAATATCATAAAGAAGCGATCTGTCCTTTCTCGTTCGTCCGAGTCAGGAAATCTTCATCTTGCCCAGGAGTTCTCGGTATTTATTGCGACTTAAAAAATATCAGCAGCCTGCGGCTTTGATTCGTGCCTCCCTTCTTCCAGCTTGGCCACAGGAATCAGGGATTCCTGTTAAATCCACTCCATTTTCCATTTCATTTCTAACATGGAGGAGAGCCTGGAGGTTTTTAATGGAGTTTTTCCTTTCTTGCTCCAGCTTGCTGTGTGTCAGGAAATCATGGGTTTCCTGCTGAATTCCATATTAGGATCAGTGGGCTTGTGAAGGGCTGCAAACAATGGGAGCTCTGTGTGTATTTGTACTTTGGAGGAACTCTGCCAGGACATGGAGAAAGAAAAACACTAGAGGTCTCTCTGCAGAATGAAGTTTTTAGGCTTCCTGCTCCATCCCGCGCTCGAGCTGCTCTCCGGGCTGCCAACACTGAGACGGGCGAGGAGGATTTCGGAGAGGCTCTGAGAAACAGGGGTGTTGGACCTACACGGCCAGGCGGGGTACGAGGAGCCTGCAAGCTGTGCCTGTGTCTCAGGGTTGTCTGTTGTTCCCAGGCACAATCTCCTCTGATCTCAGGATAGGTATTTTCTTCATTTTGGGAGGGGAAGGGGGGGAGGTGGAAAAGCAGACAGGAGCTGTAGTGAGTAGGTAGAGTTTAATGTCAATTTTCTGTGTCTATAGCTCTTCAAAGAACTTTGTAGAAAGAATAAATAATTGATTTTTCAATTCAGGCACTCAGAAAGTTTCTCTTGCATTTCCCCTCATCCACCTAGAAAAATAAAAAAAGAGGGATTTTCCCCCTCCTAGTGTAAATATGTAAGCACAGACAGAGATAAAATGTATAATTGAGTCACAAGAATTACAAAATTAAACAAAAATAAATAAATAAATAAAAACACTGTATAGCAGTCTGTAGAAAACCAGCTTTGAACTGTATGATTCCTGCCCCCTCATCTGTTTTGTTCTGGTGTTTCATGTGCCTCCTAAGTCTTCTCTCCATTTCAATATATAACAGTCTATATGAACATGAAGGGTCAAACTGCCTGCTCCTTCCACAGGAAAAATTTTGCAATTTCCAGCAGAAACGAGCCAGACATTAACATAAACCCCAGTACAACAGCCCAGCACATCCCACTGGCTGCATTTCCCTTCCACGACACTCAAAGGCTTTGAAAGAGGGAAACAACCCCACACTGGGACTCTGCAGGGAAGCACACCGGTGCTAAATGCTTCCCCTGCCTTGCTCATGCCTGGTTAGAAAGAAATGCCCAAAAGCACACACAGGCTTGGAGCGATGCACACCTGGAAGCATGAGGACCAACACAACCTTAAAAAGGAACTGTCTTAGCCCCAAACTGCATGAGAAGAGACAAACAGAACCTTAATAAGGAATGTTCTTATCCCCACATTACATGTCCTTTAGGTTTTGCAGTGGAGGGGTGCAGCAGACCCACATGCTGTCTCCTCGACAGGCTAAGCTCCACGTCTGTCGGAGCTCTTCAGTGGTCTGTGTTCTCGACCAGCTCTGAACACGCTCCTGAAGAGGTGGTAGATGGAGAAAACATGCGAACAAGGTTGAACAAAATCTGTCTGTTTCCCTGGAGAGCCCCAGGGAGCTCTTTTTGTCGTCTCTAGTCAGGAGTCTTGGTCATTCAGTAATTTGTGCACCATGCCCTGTGTTCTTCATCTTCTTCATGTCCTCCTTCCTGTCGACAAAAGGGTTCTTTGTAGGCAGAGTTCGGCCCAGCATCGTACCTGCTGTCACCGGGCATCAGTGAAGGGTTTCCCACAGTTAGGAGTTCAGGTGGCATCCTCTTAGCTTCAAAACTACAGCCCAAGGCTGAGGTTTATCCAAGAAAACCTGTGAGCTCTGGGCACCCAAACCACCATTCTCCAAGCATTTACTCTGCTGATCATTTCCACCATCAGCAGCACAGCTGGGTCATCCTGAGGAGGCATCAAGTGTTACAAGGATTTATTCTTTAAGCTTCTTTCTATTTGCAGTTGAGGTCAAACTCCAAGCCTGTGCCTCTGTTTAGCTATTATATGCAGCCAAGTAGGTACCAGCACACTGACACCTTCTATGTCTTTGCTCACCAACATAGTGACCTTTTGGGTGAGTTTGCCAAATATATGAGTAAGTACATGCTGTTGCAAGGTAACTGCAGAGCCTGAGGAAGTACAAAATGCCAATAATTCATGGTTCAGTTCCCTGTTGCCTCTATCAGACAAAAGCAACAGCTGTCCTGCTTCCCATTTTACAAAAGTATAATCTATCTGCAAGCTTTTTTGACATAAAGCACACTACAGTTAAGGAAAGCTTTAATGCTACTTAGGCCAGATTTAGGCCTACAGTAAAACACCCATGGTTCATTCCTCTATGCTCAGCAGGGCTGTGTCCACCTCTATTTTTTTTGCAAGAGATTAAACAATGAAATTCCCTTGCTGTTTCCCTGGAGGCTTTAAGATACTTTATTATCCTCTCCACATTTCTTTAAAGGGTCTTTGAAAATTGCTTAAAGGTGATAGCTTTTGAGCTTTTGTGATATGCAAAATATCAAGAGACTGAACTGGAGGGTCTTTGCAAACCCTTCCAAATCTAAGCTCGGAGGTATGGGAAGCTTTGTGGGGAACCAGTTTTCATTAAGATGCATCAGTAAAAGAACTTGCAGCCCTTAGCATGCATAATGGAAGTGCAGCTACACTGGTAGAGCCTACCTAACAGCTTGCCTGGAAGAGGCCAACAGGTTGAATTTATCTTGAAGGTGGGGAAGGCTGACATCGTGCCTGTACAAGTCAAATTCAGTGCTAGATTTTTGCTTTACCTACATAGATGATAAGTACAGCTTTAGAGGAGTTATGATAAACTTATAAAATGTATCTGGACTAAAACCATGTTTTCTTTAATCTCATTACTTTAACTTGGTTTGGCATAATTCAGATCAGCTGGACCAAAACATCTTAAGAGCTGATTTCATTGCAACAAAATATAATCACACAATTTTACACTTTTCTCTCCAGAGACTGAGACATTAACCCCTCTGCTACTCTGGGGTTGTATCTTTTACTTGCAAAGTTGGCCCTGAATCTGCTGTGTGGATTAACAGCCTGTCCTGTCATTTAGCAGTCTAAAAAAGTTTGAGGCAATCCTGTTATGTTTTACAAAAGATTTCTTAATTTGCAAATTGCAAATGGCAATGCTTTAGGTTAAGCTGACCCTTCTGCAGTTGCTCTGCAAGTTTCAGCTCCCCTAAAACTGCTTCTGCACAATGGAGATGCTTGTGAGCTCCAGCGTGGAAGACAGGGTTATTAGTAAAGATTATCTAAAATCGGAAGGTCTGGTGATTTAATCGAAATCCAGGGATTTTTTGCTCTTTCACTAATCAGGTTAGAAATGGTCAGATTTGCTCACAAGATCTCAGTCGTTCCCATCTCACAAATCCAGTAAGAGCAGACTGGTTCCAAGCCACAAAATTTGCAAAGATGGGGCTGAAGTAAGGAAGTTAACCTAACTAGTCTGAATGCTTGGAAAGCTTGTTTAAATGTGTGTGGTTCTTGTGTATGTAACCTAGTTTTGTTTCCTAATCATTTTACAAGCTTCTAGCCAAGACCACTACGGCAAAAAGGGAGGCTAAAAAGATAATAGGTACGGGCAGGTGCTATTAGCACTGTGAAGTGATGTCACCTGAGGCGCTTTCTAGCAAAGTTTCTCAAGCAAAGGGCTCTGCTCTAGATAAAGTGCCTCTGACCTTTTGTTAATTAACAAATTAACTGGCAGCAGATCTATTCCCAGGACGGCAGAGTATGTCTAACTCCCACATGACTGTGTAGAAGCATCAGCTTCATCTTCATCAGCACAGGTCTGACAGGACAGTCCCTGCAGCTGCTTCCCTGGCGATTACCAAGTTCAAAGCTGGTGCAAGAAATTTTGGTGTGAAGATCTGTATGAGATAAAGGACTTGCAAATTTGTTAATTAGCTCTGCAATGAGAAATATGCTTGCCAGTTAACTCTATTCTATATTTCCCTGCAGGCTTGCAGAGGGAAATAAAGGATATGATGCTCCATTGCGCTCTCTCTGCTCTCTTCCCTTGTCCATCTCTGCCACTCCCACATCTCGCCAGTGCCTCCTGCAATGCAGTGGTCTTCCTATGTGCAATTTTACGAGCTTAAAACTTGACAGCCAGATGAATTTTCTTCATTAACTGTTTTCCTTATGTTCCTTATTTTTTCTTAGGTCTCCTCCTAAACCCATCCCCTCTTTGCCTAAACTGAGCATATCTGTCTCTACATTCTCACCCACAGGAGGCAGGTCCATGGGGTGGGTGATTCTGAAGGTCACTGCACCACCGTGAAGCTCTTCTCCCCATGTCTCACTGCTAGGTACAGCCATGTCCAGCCATCCTCCTTCCACCTACCAGTGTTGATGTGGGAATGAAGTTTCTGGCACTATTACTGAACTGTAAATTGACTTCAAGCAAATCTTCTCACATTTTTTCTTATCCTTTGTCTAATCTGTTGAGATTGTGACAGTTTTTTTAGGGCAGTGATTGTGCTGGTATTGGACTGAGCATACCAGAACCATATTAAGTTTAACTATCACTGTGCTGTTCAATACAAGATTCTGGACCTTTCCTGGACTATGTTATGGTAAGAGCCAGACTGCTGCTGTTACAAGAATTTGGGACTTCAAGACATCCACACTGTCACCATATTGTCAGAGCAGGACCCCTAGTCCTAGATGGAGCAGCCTTGGGGTGGCTTCTCTTTGTTCTTGGGTTGCCTGTATGGCCCTCCACACTGTGCTAAGAATAATTGAAATGGGGGGCACTTTAATGCTATTCCCTCCATCTTCTCTTCTCCTTCCTTGCTGGCAGCCCCATTCATCAGCCTTTCACCCCAGTGAAGCAGTCATTGAGATCTCAAGTGAATTTGACATATTGAAAGCAGAAGCAGCAAATGAAGGAGGAAAAATAGCAGTGGCCATGGGATGGGTGGGAGTGCTCTGTGTGAAGCCTTTTCAGAGGCAGCTTGCTGAAGGGCAGGTGCTGAGGTTCAGCTTTGAGGCTTGTTGAGTGAGAGCAAGACTCTCCACAGCCATCACACGTCATCAGTCATGCTGCCACCAGCACCACCACCATGGTGGTCCATGCCAGCAGCAGGAGGTTCCCCGTTTCATGCTGCTGCCATGGATATAATTACTGTAATTGGGTTTCCCTTTGGAAAGACGAGCTTATAAAACAAGTGACTTTCGGGAGATGAGGTCAAGCAAAGGATGATTCATGTCCTGTCCATCAAAGTACCTTCTTGCTTCTCAGAGAGGGCTGCTTTATAATGAGAATTACACATGGTGTATTTGTGTGTTCATGAATGGCGAG